TAAATCTAGATATTTACATAACAATATTATTTTATCAAATAGAATACAAAAAATTATAATGTAAAAAGTTATATGTTCCAATAGGGATGGGGTTTTGGGTCTGAATAAGTAAAGGGCTTATCTTTATATATTTGTGTTTAGAATATTTGTTCAATTTTAATTTTTTGTCAATAAAATTTTTAACATCATAATTGTGATTAAATAATAATCTATTTTGTAAAATAAATATACCAAATTGGAAATATGAGATAGACTGAGTGAAATCATTTTACTGAATAAATAAACTAATTTGATTGAAATTATTTTTAAATCATTTTATATGACAAATTCAACAATCAATTCGTCTTATATATGGATGCATTTTAAAGTCTTGCACCTCACAGGAAACATGAGGTTGAAAGTCTTCCTTAATGCTAAAGAATATGAATCGAAGATGCACATTGTGAGATAGATTGTACACGTGGGGCAATGGAAGAGCGGGTGGACCAAATGATGGAATTACAGATATCTTAATTCCCAGATTTTAATAAAAAATTACAGTGATCCAATCGTACAAATTTGGCAAGAGACATATCCAAACTTTAACAAAATTGTGAATGATCCACATCATTTACAAGAAAGAGGAATATTGGCACCAATATTTATTGTGGTAGACACAATAAATGAATACATGACTGTCCTTAATGTTGGTGAGAAGTCGAAGACATTATTAAGTTCGGACAACATATGTAAATCAGATACAAACTCTTATTTATGAGCAGACTTACATATGCCAAAGTTTTTAAATAGCATTTTGTGCTTCAAGCGTCTCAAACCATGAACTGACTTTAAAGGTTGGAATTCCTGTTATGTTGTTATGAAATATTGACCAAACAATGGGTCTTTGTAATGGTATTTAGTTGATTATAACTCGGCAAGGATCCATGTCATCCAAAGAATTTGAGAGCAGTAAAACATGCTGGTCATGAAGTTGTGATTCCAACACTCGCACTCACGCCTTCGGATATGAGGGTTCGTTTTAAGTTTTAGAAAAAACAATCTTCGATAATGACCTCATACGTTATGACAATAAATAAAATTCAAAACCAATCCCTGTAGCACACTGATCTTCTACTGGAAAAATCAGTCTTTAGTCATGAATAGTTTTACGGCATTTTCTCGAGTGACAAATCGTCAAGGCCTTAAAATTTTGATTTGGGACACTGATAATAATGTAGTACTCGAGCATACCACTAATGTTGTATTTAAAGAAGTTTTCCAAAATATTTGAAGTATGTTGTAATGCTCACTTTTTTTGTTTTTATTTGTAATGTATTAATAATAATAATAATAATAATAATAATAATAATAATAATAATGTTTTAATGTCATTTAGTCTGTTTCTCCTTATCAATAAGCTATTATGTAGGAATATGACCTTTATCCTTGGAATTTCCTAAGATATATAGAATAAAAATACATTTCTTACAAATTAAACTCTTAATTAAATTTTAATTATGACAAATATAATAACGAAATGCTTCCCGTGCATAGCGCGGGTACGATGCTAGTAAATTATAAAACATATACTTCTTTCATCCCGGAATATTCGTCTAGTTTTGACTTTTGGAATTGTTCATCTAAGCACTTTGACTCATCAAATTCTCTCAATGTGTAAGCATAAATATAGTCATGTGTGATCTTGTTTGATTTGTCTTAACATATAGATTATTAATATATAATTTCTATAATTTTTTAATATATAAATTACAAGATAAAATGGATTAAAGAAGTGTATTGGATGGTGTGTAAAAATGAAAGTGTACAAATATTCTGGGACGGAGGTAGTATTTAATTATAATATAAATCTAATACAATTGAATTTATTTTGTTTAATTAGTGGTCAAAAAATATTATAAGTTGATAAAAAAATGCAGACAAGAAAAAATTTTTAAAACCAAGAAAATATTAGTTTACCCGGTTAATTTAGAATGGAGAGAGTATATTATTATTATTATTTAAATAAATTAGTTCAAATATAAATTTATCAACCGTGTTAAGTAATTATAAAGCGTGGAATATATTTTACTCAGCTTTTTTATGTACGTTCAAAAATCCGCATAAACATCATTCTCCCTTGTCTTCTTCTTCCTGGGGAGCGTTGAAGCTTTGACGCAGAGTTCATGCGCGACTCGTGTCCTCCGCCACGTTTTGCTCATGCGAGGTAACCTGTAACTTCGCCGTTTTTCCATCTATTGAACTAGAACAGTCTTCAATCTTATCCAGACTGAACCGTCTTGTTGCCAGTGTTTCTTAAGCTGCATGCGAATACGAGGGGCTTGAGCGGCGGAGAGCTGCTTTAGGAGGCGGAATTGGGAGCGGAAATGGCGTACCAGAGGAAGGTCCCGGATCAGCAGCCGCGGATTATGCGGACGCAAACGGCAGGGAATCTGGGGGAGTCGACCATGGACAGCGAAGTCGTCCCGTCGTCTCTGGTGGAGATTGCCCCTATTCTGCGTGTTGCTAATGAGGTTGAACCTAGCAATCCAAGGGTTGCTTACCTCTGTGAGTTCTTGTGATCTTATATAGTACTCGTATCGGTGTATCTCTACTTAATTGTGCTGTGTAATTGCTCTTTTTATTGCATTAGGGCTCCAATTTAACACGTGTTTCCAGTTTTTTGCTTATATCTTGCATGAGCCAAGTTGTCTAAACACTAACTTGTTTGGTTACAGTATCAGATTGTAGTAAAAATAGTGCAGCAGTAATCTCTTTGAGACTGCTCAAGTTAAATGACCCTTCAACTCTGACTTATTACCTATCATTTCTCTTCATATATTTGAAAAAATAAATACATTTTTAGATAACTTAGTTCAGCTCATTCAGTCACTGTCTTATCAAATTTTACATATTTAAGTATTAGACGATTTTAGTTGAATTTTACCATCACTAATCATGCTCTTAGTTTCCATTTTAAAAAAACACACTTAGTTTTTATAGTACATGATGTAGATGATTTACCGCTTTGCATCTGCATTTGAATCATGCTAGAATCATTTATATCTTACTACTATTGAATAATGAGTCTTATGAAGGATTTAATAAAAATTGCTCAAGAGACTGGTGCACTATCTGTAATTGTGCCACTGTTTCATTTCTAGACTTATTCCTATTTCTCACACACTGTTGCTAGGACCATAACTTTTTTAGGTGCTCAGTTCTGTTTTGGAAATAAATTGTATTGAAGAGTTTTAGTTCATTGGCATAGTGTTATGGTAAAATACTTGATACAGGATCATGCCCAACACACCGGTGATTGAGAAGTAGTAGTTCATGTCCGTGTTCTTTCCCCATGAATGAGCCTAGGAGTCTCTCCATTTTGTCAGAAAACTCGGAATTTGATTAATAACTTCCATCATACTATTTATTAATTGTGCAGTGTACATAAACAGGGATCGAGGGCCCCACCAAGCTGCAATAAAATATTCCTATTACAACCTGAATATAAGTATATTATAATTGGCAACTAATATAACTCTACTATAAATGGGAATAATAATTGGACCTCATTTAGAAACTTCTGTTACTCTCTCGCTTTCCTCTTCGTATGTCTCTCCTCGCATATTTTAGTCCCTCAATTGCGTCCACATTATGTTATTGTTTGCAACACAAAGTGCATACAAAGTTGTAGAGTACTCCCTCCGTCCCGTAATTTTTGTCCCAATGACACAATTTTTAATAAAGTGAAATTTGTGTGGTTATGGTTTGTGGAGAGGAAAGTGAAAAAATATGGGCCACCCAATCATTCCCTTAAAAAGAAGAAAACAACAACATCACCCCAATGCCTCTAAGGCTCCCGAGTCCCGCCCATTGTGGGGTTAGGGGGGTTGGATGTACGTAGCCGGACCCCTATGTTAAAACATAGAGCGGCTGTTTTTAGATGACCTATGGTGAGCTTCAAAAGTTGCATTGACTAACCGTTACTTCATTATCAAAAGAAGCATAGATGGTTTTAGAGCCATTTCCTTAAAAAGAAAGTGAAAGTCAAATTTGGGACAACCCAAAAAGGAAAGTGAGAAGATAATTATGGAAAGTAGGGAGTATTAGGCATGTTAATAAATATAATCTGAATCTTATTGATGACGGTCATTTATATTTGTATTACACACATCAACACGAAGCTCTTAACCCTAAAATATATTGACTCTTGTTTCCTCAACACACACTTTACTATGTACAACCAAATCTGTTTTACGTCACAAAAGGTAATGTTCACTTGCATGTTAAATGACTTTGCACTTAACTTGCTTAGTCAGCAGGACTTTTCACTCCTCACCTGGAAAACTTTATTTGATTTACTATGTCTTTTTGGGGCGAGGAAGAATTATATTGGTGTTCCTTTTTTCTTACCTTTTTTTTAGGTTATGGTAGTTTGTTACACTGATTTACTTATATATCTTCACTTTGGAATCAGGTAGGTTCTATGCTTTTGAGAAAGCTCATCGGTTGGATCCAACATCAAGTGGGCGTGGAGTTCGCCAGTTTAAAACAGCACTTCTTCAGAGGCTAGAACGGGTAAACTCAGTTAACTCTCCTGCTGTTAGTTTCCAACCCGTGTTGTATTTTCAAGCCTCATGTTTGATGCTGGTATATATGACTGCTGAGTTCAATGAAGTCTGAACTGAACTTAAGAAGTTCGGATCATGACCTTTGCCATGATTTTTTTGTTGATTGTTTTGGAAGTGAATATAATTTATACTCCATCTGTCCCTAAATAAACTTCATGCTTGCCTTTTCATGGTCTCCATTGTTCAACTTTGACAATAATTCTTATTTTTATATATTATTGGAAATTATGAAAAAATAATATCTAGAAATTATAATTCGATACAAATTTGTCAAGCTTACTTTCATATCAGAAAATAAAATAGTTTATGCAATATTGAAGATCAAAATATAAAAATTCTGACCTCCAAAAAGCAAACATGAAGTTTATTAAGGGAGTATGTTTTTAGCTTTTGAATTTGACAGCTATCTGTTTTTAATGCTTTGAATAGTACAATCAGTGATAAGCATTAATTGGCAAATTTTTTTTAGAAAATAAATGACCAAAATTTTCCAGGAAAATGAATCAACTCTAGCAGGAAGGAAAAAGCGTGATGCTCGTGAAATGCAGAGTTTTTATCAACATTACTATAGGAAGTATATTCAAGCTCTACAAAATGCAGCTGAGAAAGCTGATCGGTAATAACTATGTGGTTATCAAGACTTTGTAGTTTACTCTACTCTTGGATTCTCATATGATAAACCTTATGGTTATTTAGTTTCCTTATTATTTCTTTGTTTTTGTGCATGCCATCATACAGTGTGAGACTTACAAAGGCATACCAAACTGCTGCCGTGCTTTTTGAGGTCTTGAAGGCTGTTAATCTGACGGAATCTGTTGAAGTGGCTGATGAGGTGGAAATTGAAACATTTCATTGTGAATATAATGTCTTGATCAATTCAAAACTTAGGATCAGTTTACCTCCCTCCAATTTCGGATTTCGATCTCCAGACATATCTACCAAATGCTATTACTCTGTGGCTCTGTGCTTTTCTGCTTTTTTATCTGGAAAACTACTTTAATATGGAGTAAAGGATGAACATGGCAGAAGTTGTCATTCTCAAATTCTCAAAGTTTAGAGAACACGAGGAGTAAACACATTTTCTGTTTTTAATTACTATTCCAGAAAATGAAAAAAAATCCAATATCTCCCACTAGTAATCAGACTGCTATGGTCTCACATAAGTTCTTATAACTTATAGGAGTATGGTTTTTTGCTGGCAAGTATATATTCCGTATGTTGCTAAACATATTTTGGAAAGCTTCCCTTTTCTGGCCTTTCCCATTTTTGTTTCTTTAATGCTTAATTTAAAATCTATAGATTTTGGAAGTTCAAGCCGAGGTGGCTGAAAAGACAGAGACACTGGTGCACTACAATATACTTCCACTTGATCCTGATAGTTCAAATCAAGCAATTATGAGATACCCTGAGGTTGGTCTCTACTCTCTACTTTATATTCACTATGTTTTTATCCGCCTATCCTAGCTTCCACCATGTTTTTTAATTCTTTGCATCAATAGATTCAAGCAACTGTGGCTACTCTGCGTAATACGAGAGGTCTACCATGGCCAAAAGGCCATAAGAAGAAAATAGACGAAGACATTCTAGATTGGCTTCAAGCTATGTTTGGTTTTCAGGTATTGGTGCTTGTTGCTGGGATGATCTAGAATTAAATGAGTAATTTTGGTTATGTATTTGACTAAACAGCTAAAAAATTGTGATTGTTTCATTTCCATTGGTGGACATGCAGAAAGATAATGTTGCAAATCAAAGAGAGCATCTGATTCTATTGCTAGCAAATGTGCATATTAGGCAATTTCCAAAACCAGATCATCAACAGCCTAAGGTTTGTTTATTTCATTACTATCAGCTTTGCATATATGGAAATGTGAATAATATAGGAATACAAGGTATTAATAGGAATTATAGGATAGGTGTAGCTAAGAAGTCCTTACATCACAAGGTTACCCGATAAGAATAGTGTTCTCCATACTTCCCCTCAAGCCGGAGAGTATAGATCATGTGCACAGGAATAAAGTGATAATGAACTTCAAAATGCTTAATGTTCTCTTTATTAGATATATTACTCCGTATATTTTAGGACATATGAGTTATTATGTTGAATAAAGTGATAACTGACCACAATATGCTCAGGGATCTCTTGCCATACTCAATTTAATGTGATATGCATTGCTGTTTGATTATCACACATTTGTTGCATTGGTCTTTGCTCCCATATTTTAATTATTGGCGAAGGTGTTCCAACCACAAAATCTCACATGCAACAAGAGTTATGGTGCCACGGCATTAATTTTCAACACTCGATGATGCAACCATATCTTGTTTCTTGCTTTTCCAAGAGATTAAGTTTCCAGCAATCAAGATACAATAATCATTTATCAATAAGACAACGGGCCTTGTCAAATCCCACGATATAGCTATGACATTCTTCACAAAATAATCCTAGTCCTCGGGTTCTCTTGGTGTATTGTGAACAACATCTCAATGACCATCATCCTTCACATGGCTTATTAACGAAATTGGCTAATAACACTTAAGACAGATGAAATATCGCACCTTAAGTTTTCAATTACCCGTTCATATCTATTTATCAGGGAGTGGTTCCCTCTGCCCTCCAAGGTGTTTGGCATTTTGATCTATCGGCATATCCACAAGTCAACATTCCAACATACATATATTCTCAAATATATCTAAATAATCTAATGCATATTTTCTCTTAGAAAACCCTTTGCCCACCAGTCTTTCTTTGAGACAATCTATATTGCTATCAAGTCCAACCTTCATGTTCTGATTCCAGCAACAACCAAGAACAAGCATAGGGGTACTGATTCCGATGTCTCACTAGCACCCATTTCAGTCACAACATAACCCGATGCCACTTTTGATGAAAAAGATCCTCTCAACGTTGGAGGCAGAAGTGGCACGTGAGGTCAAAAGGGGCAACATGTGAGCGTCAATGGTGGTGCTTAAGCTCGTGGCCAGTCAGATCTGGTGCCAGAAAGTATGGGTAGGCTCGCTGTGGAAAGAGGGTCCACCCCTGTGGTTGCGGAGTCAATGGCAAATTGGATTATTGTAGAATGTAAACAAAAACTGATTTTCGGGCGGGAAATGGCACATGACAGTGCGTGTGATTGTGTAAAGGTGGCAGTGGGTTTTCAGGCAGTTATAAGATAATTTTCACGCCGGAAAATGTTTTGGCTCTAATAACATGTGGTATGTAGGAGCCCATATTTTTATATATTAATGAAGAAGGAATACACATTATTTATAAGATGACATTTTGGACGTGATATAATAAGCATCAACTCATACTTCTATATTCTACACTTGGCAACCATATTTATACCCCACATAAAACACCATCCATATCTTAAGACTTACAATTGCATCCCTGTTATTAGTTGGATGATTGTGCACTTACCGAAGTCATGAAGAAGCTATTCAAGAACTACAAAAGTTGGTGTGAATACCTTAACCGCAAGAGTAGTCTCTGGTGAGTCTATTTTTTCTGAATCTATGAACATAGTTCCAGCAGTGACATATACCACCTTTATTGTGATATTTTAATTCATAATGCTTGGCCTTTGTGTGCAGGCTGCCGACAATTCAACAAGAAGTGCAGCAAAGGAAATTGTTGTACATGGGTCTCTATCTTCTTATCTGGGGGGAAGCTGCCAATTTAAGATTCATGCCAGAATGTTTATGTTACATTTATCATTATGTATGTATTAAATTCCTAATATCCATCAAGAAAGAAAACTGTTATGTATTCTTCAATTTTCATAAGATGAAAAGGGAAATACTTATTATTCAGTACTGTTTTGGGTGTTTTACTTTGTTTAAAAGTTTCCATGATTTCATTTTGGTGTCTTCTGCTAGCACAACATATAATTCTGTAGTGCCACTATAATATTCTGCCTTTTGCCACAACTAATCTTTTAAAAGAAATATTAATACTTTTATTGAATTCAGTGTAGGACCTCCACCAACATTTATTTCAATAGATATCAACTAGTCCAAGGTTCTATTTTGAGACATGGTTCACTACCTTCAGTAACAGGTCTTTTTACCTCTAGAAAAAATTGTGATCTAATCACATGGTTAAGCATGTCATATTATTTGTTATAAAATTATAATTTCAATGGGATTTGTTTTCAACCGACCATAAACAGTTCTCCTAGCAGAAATTGATTGGAAGCTAGTTTTATCTGCGATCATGCTCTGTTCTTTATACACTATCAGTCTCTCTGGTGTTTTATCTACCATAACTTTCAGGGTAATAAATAGCTTCCATAACTTTGCAGATGGCAATTGAGCTGCACGGCATGCTGACAGGAAGTGTTAGCCCTGTGACTGGTGAGACAGTCAAACCTGTCTATGGGGGTGAAGATGAGGCTTTTTTGAGGAAAGTGATCACTCCTATCTATAACACAATAGCAAGGGTATTATGTTGCAACTGCTTTTCTCAAGTGTTACATACCAATCCATAGGCTGCCTTAGGTTAAATTCAAGTATTATATGATTTTATACTTATCACCGGCTTCTATACTGACCAAATTTTTTATCCTTTGAGTATGTGGGACAAGACATGGGTTGTGAAATAGTCAAATGTGTTCCTTCTGTTTGGATAAGGAAGATACACGCGCACACACAAACACATCCATTTAAAATGGCACAAGAATATCTTATTGATTGTGAGATACTTCTTTCCCATTAAATATCTAAGGAAGCTAAAAGGAGCGGACTAGGAAAATCAAAGCATTCAGAATGGAGGAACTACGATGATTTGAATGAGTACTTTTGGTAAATTTGTCCTCTTATCTTCAACTGGTATTTAGACTTGACCAGTGACCACCTAGTTTCTAAAACAGAGATTAATATATAGCATAGTTGTGCAGGTCAGAGAATTGCTTTAAATTAGGTTGGCCAATGCGTCTTGATGCTGATTTCTTCTGCCTTCCTGTTGAAAAATTACGAGATCAGGTAAGTAAGATAATCCACACTTTCATATTCTAATATGCTGTGTTCATCACTGCATGCTCTACCAGTTTGCTTCTGTCTGGTCAGCTGAGTGGAGTTGATTTTGTAAGCTCTACAATCTACATATACTGATCAGTAAACCAGTCTAAAACCTAATTCATGGATCTCAAAGCAGTCAAGACTTGTATTATCCTTAAACACATTATGGAATCCAAAAATTAAGGACATCAATTTATAATGTTAGATAGTTATGGAAGTTCCTTATTAGCATAGGAGGGGGTGAATCGGGACCGGTTCTCTCTGCCTGATATTGATGTTCCTGATCTGAGCTTTTAATGATCTGGTCTGTTTTGGACGTTTGTAGTCTGGTTTGGTCTTGGAATTTAAGAAATAAAAGCAAACCCCTCGTGTAGCAGTTTAAAATTGGACTCATGCTGAGCCCAAAAGTTTTCCTTTGTTCAGAATAATAATTACTCAGGGCCTCAGGGTTCATGGCAGTGGAAGAAGGTTCATGGCAGTGGAAGAACTTGATCAGATGAAAGAGGAATGGTAGTTTAAATGAAATAGTATAGAAATGTTGACCTACTTCCACACCACAGTTATGGTATAACTTTTTTAGGTTACTGAAGGAACATAAAAAAATTGATCAGATTATTAGAGATGATGGAAAGAATACTAACAACAGCAACAATATACTCCCTCCATCCCACAAAGATTTGCACTTGCAATATTACGGGAGAGGGTCCGGGAGGGGTCGCTTGGTTTACTCTGAAGTCCAAGGTTTGACCATTAATGTTTTCATGTTGGTTATAATCAGGAAACAGTACCAGTCAAGAAGAAACAATGGATGGGAAAAACCAACTTCGTCGAGATACGCTCATTTTGGAACATTTTTAGGAGTTTTGATAGAATGTGGGGCTTCTTAATTATTTCTTTGCAGGTTGGTCTTTATTTTTGTGTTTTTAGTGCACCTGAAAAAGAAATTGTTCCTTTAACAAAACATAATTAGCTCCAACAACCTTCATCCCTGCCATTTTTGCTAATTTTCATTTTGTGCTTTAAATTCTCCACTGAAGACAATGATCATTGTTGCATGGAATGGATCTGGTGCACCAAGTTCTGTATTTGAGGGAGAAGTGTTTAAGAAAGTGTTAAGCATTTTTATAACAGCTTCAGCATTAAAACTAGCTCAAGGTGATTTTGCTTGTCTTACTGACTGACTGGTCTGTCTTGTTCCTTTTTCAGCTCAAATGAGTATGAATATCGTTTTTCTTCTAAGCCACCCTTCATATAAAATTTTGTCTTGCAGCTATTATTGATATAATCATGAGTTGGAAAGCAAGACAAAGCATGTCAATCTATGTCAAGCTAAGATACATTCTAAAGGCTGTCTCTGCAGCTGCATGGGTCATAATCTTGCCAGTAACTTATGCATATAGTTGGGAAAATCCTCCTTCATTTGCACAGGCAATAAAGAGTTGGTTTGGCAATAGTGGAAGTTCGCCTTCTTTGTTCTTCATTGCAGTACTGTTTTACTTGTCTCCAAACATGCTGTCTGCTTTGCTTTTTCTATTTCCTTTTTTGCGACGCAACCTTGAGAGATCAGAGTATAAGATTGCGAGGCTGGTGATGTGGTGGTCTCAGGTATGAGCATCTTTATGTGCTTTATGAGATCTCTTTTTCCCTGCATCTGACCCTTCTCATTTTATTTTTCCTAATTGTTAACTATTTCTCTTTTCTTTCTAATACCTTTGTTATGCAGCCCCGGCTTTATGTTGGAAGGGGAATGCATGATGACACATATTCTCTTGTCAAGTAATTGATTACTACAGTGGATTCTAATACGAATTAGCTTACTTTGGCTCTTATGCTTGTTTTAGTTAATGGTTTTACTCTTTTCAGATACACAATGTTCTGGGTTCTCCTCATGGCATCAAAGTTGTCATTCAGTTACTTTATTGAGGTAAGGTCCTTGCATATTTCAGTTTTTCATGATTGGTATTTGGTAGCAGTAGTGTGTCAGACTTGTATGCTTGATTGACCATTATAGGTATCATAGTCTCGAGTTAAAGTATTAAGGGCCTGTGTGGTTCACTTTCTAGTATGAGTTTGCAATCATGAATGAGGTTTAGAGGGTGTTAGAGAACTCAAAGAGATAGTGCGTATGTTAAATACTATTAATATATTGTGGTAGAGTCTAAGGGGCTGTTTGTTTCAGCCTCTTAATGGTTCAGATGTCTGAATGGTTCAGCACTTAATGATGCAGATGGTTTGTTTCAGCCTCTTAATGGTTCAGATGTCTGAATGGTTAAGAGATTTACCTCTGAATGGTAAAGTATTATACAGAGTCCCTGAATAGTTAAACAATATACTAGCTCTTAATGGTTCAGACCTCTTACTGGTTCAGCACTTAATGGTTCAGACCTCTTACTGGTTCAGCACTTACCTATTCAGAAGTTGCCAAACAGCCCCTAAGAGTTAGATTGCATGTGTGTGTGTTAGGGGCTATGATGGACTTAGTTTGAGAATCCGTTTTCATAACCAAACTAGTTGTATGGCTGTATTTGTATGGGAGTCCCATTTCCCTACCTGATTCTGATGCCAAAGTGGACAAATCGGGGCCTTAAATATTTCCGTCAATTTTCTTTCTTCATGCAATCAGAAGTTCTTTGTTAGCATTAAACTTGACAAGGCCATATGGAAAATGTCATATTTTTAAGCAAGAAGTTGCAAATGGAACTACTCGAAGACAATTTGATAAAGAAGTGATTTAGTGTGTATGAATATGTGTAACAGAGAGCAATGGATGCACATGTTGCAGATGGTTGAGCTAACATGGTATTAATAAGAAAAAGAATCAGCGTTATGCTGCAACTTATTTGGAGAAAAGTTATTAAGAATGTGTGCCAGTGTAATGGGCCATATTGAATTAGTGCTTGATATGTTTTGCTAGAGACAGTGATTCCGCACGACTGTCATATTTTTCTTCGAAGTAGAAAGAACCTATGATGATGGTTTTGAAATTTCATCTCATTATTCCTTCATAAGAATGTTATGGCAAGAGAGGGGCGGGGTATTCAACACAAAAATTTGATGTTATGCTTGCTGCATGAATTTATATTGTTATTTACTTTTAGACAATCAACCTAACTACAAATTAGGAGTATGTCACCAATTCCAATTTAGTTAGGATTAAATCCAAATAGCATCAACTAGGTTGGATTAATGATTGTTTGCATTGAGGTAAGCACAGACTATTATAACCTTTCTGAAATAAAATACTAGTTCTTGTACAATCAATCTACACCTCTTCATGTTTTTACAAACTTACAAATCAACTGTTTATTTATCAGAAAATATATGAGCAACATGTGTCAACTGGATGGCCTTGAACATTTTTTTAAGAACCAGATATGGCTTGAACATCGATATGCTCAAATGTAATTTTCTTGCAGATAAAGCCTCTTGTAGCCCCAACAAAAGAAATCATGAATGTTCACATACAAAGATACCAGTGGCACGAGTTCTTTCCTCAAGGTAGTCAGTCTTGTATTGTTCTTTGGCCATTTCTCACTTGTGAAAAGATACTCAGTGTGATTTTTCTTTTTCAGCCAAGAAGAACATTGGCGTTGTGATTTCACTATGGGCTCCTATTGTTCTTGTATGTGTCATCTTATTTATGCACTCTGTTTTTTCTTTATTCAAAATCCTAAAATGATTACTATGTACAGGTCTACTTCATGGACATACAAATTTGGTACGCAATTTTCTCTACCATATTTGGCGGTATATATGGTGCATTCCGCCGTCTAGGAGAGGTTGGTGGATTTTCCCTTGAACATTTATGCTCTCATCTTAATAGGAACCCATCAACCTAATCAAAGCAGCAGAAAACCCCAACATAACTAGCATATTGGCTGGTCTTACAATCTATGCTTAAATTATTATTTATTCTAGTCCTTAATTATGTATTGGAATTATGATTTAATAATGTCAAATTCACCAGAGAACTTTTTGCATCTGAGTGGTCTTTTCATTGCGATAACCATTTACTCTGATTTTTTAAGGATCTGATTGGTTCAGTTTTCTTTTGCTTTCAAATTAGGATGACTAATTAATTCCCTTTGTGGTTTCAGATCCGAACATTAGGAATGCTTAGGTTTAGGTTTCAATCACTGCCAGCGGCTTTTAATGCCCGCTTGATTCCAGTGGAAAATAAAGAAAATTCTAAGAAGGGGCTAAAGGCAACATTATCTCCAAAGTTTGATAAAGTGAAACAGGTGCTCAAAATTGTTTAATTGTTCTACTAACTTTCTAAGGTACCAGGTCTCATAATGGGTTCCTTATCTGGTTCTTTCAGGCAACTAGCATAGGAGGATATGAAGCTGCAAGGTTTGCTCAGTTGTGGAACAAGATAATTGAGAGCTTTAGAGACGAGGATCTGATAAATAATAGGTAGTCTACATAGTTCCTATCGGAGTTGGAATATACGATATATCTTTTGACCACTTCCTCATTTTCATGCTGTCTAACTTTTGGAATTTGATTTTTCTATGGTAGCGAAATGAATCTATTGCTTGTGCCCTACTCAGCAGATAAGGACTTGGAAGACCTAGTTCAGTGGCCTCCATTTTTATTAGCAAGCAAGGTATGATGCATCCTCTCCTTGTTAGCTGATTTAGCAACCTTCCACAATAGTGGTTTTAAATTAACTTAACTGACATGAGTCATACCTCTGCTCTATAGCTTCCCATTGCGGTGGATATGGCTGAAAATAGCAATCAACGAGATCATGAACTGATGAAAAGATTAAATGATGACCATTATATGTGCAGCGCAATTCGCGAGTGCTATGCTTCCTGTAAAAGCATTATAAACAATTTGGTTCTTGGCGAACATGAGAAAAAGTAAGTCCTCTGAATTTATTATACTGAACAAATGGTACATACCTAAACATCGTTTCATTGCTTGGCTAATCTGGAAATGAAGAATCCTCACTAAGGATAGACTATGCAGATTTATCAATCGATACTAACTGTGTGTTGTGTGATAAGGGGGTGGAAACAGGTGATCATTTTGCTCTTGTCCATATGCTAAATCAGTACATGGGAGGATTTTAAATGGATACAGTATGACATTTCTTCTAGTTCCAATACTGAGTTGGGGAAAAAATGAGGATGGGGAAGAATAGGAAAGATTGTTGGCTTATTGCTACATGTATAACTGCATGCTGTTATTTCTTGTGGAAGGCTAGAAACCTTAAAACTCACAGCAACATGGAGGTCACCAAAGAGTATATTGTGAAAACCATGAAGACTACTATTGTGATGGTGATTTGGAATAGATATGGCTCACTTGTTTCTTGAGTTTCTAATATTATAGTTTGGCCTAGATTATATTTGTTTGTATTAAGTAGGGCAACAGTAGGGTGAGGACTTGTATTTGGCTTTTTGGTGATTAATACGTATTATGTACTTTGTTCTAAAAAAAATAAATTATTATCTTTCAAACAGCACATATTGAGCTGATATCTTATCATTTATAAATTATTTGCAGTGTAATGAATGAGATTTTCTCCAATGTTGATCATCACATTGAAAAAGGCGACCTGATAAAAGAATTCAATATGAGCGGTCTTCCTATCCTCTACCGAAAGTTTGTTGAGCTTATTGAAATTTTGGTNCCCCCCCCGACATAGATCAGGGCTTCTAGTCCCAGTATGGTTTGGAGCATTATTATATATCATTAGTTATTGGTTGGAATTTGTACACTTCACATTTAAACAAAAGGTGGCTTTCGTTATTTTAAATTTAACAGAAAGCTATGGTTGCTTTAAAGTCTTACCCTAGTGCAAAATTCCACAGCAAGAAAATGACCCAAATAAGAAGGATCAGCTGGTTATTGTTTTGCTTGATATGCTAGAGGTTGTAACCCGAGATATAATGGAAGATAATGTTCCAAGGTAATCTGTGCTGAAGAGTTTGTTTCCTTATGCATGTATGTGTGTTGCCTCATTCTGTTCTTATTCTGTATCGTGCTTGCATAGCTTAATTGAATCAAGCCATGGCGGTTTTGGGCACGAGGAGATGACTTCTCTAAGTCAACATAATCAGTTCTTTCGAATCCTTAAGTTCCCTATTACAGAGGAAACCGAGGCATGGAAGGAAAAAGTAAGCTATCACTCCCTGCGTAGCTCTATCCCAATCATTTTCTCTTTTTTCTCTGCTTTGACTTGATAAGAAAATGAAATTGAGTGGATGTGGTTTATTTAGAAAGGAGAGAAATAATATATACCACACAAATATTTCCTTAAAAGGAAACACGAACAAAAGTCTAAGTCAACTTACAAAGGAAAACGAGAAGAAAATTTTGGGATGGAGGGACTACTATAATTTTCAAATCATTTTGACAAGTGAGAAATAATTTAACTCTGGTAGTTGGGTTTGAGACTTTGAGTTCAAAACTATCCATTTTAAATTATGAAAAAGGATGAAATATTATGATGTCCATGTCCTACTTACTATTCCATACTATTGTAATATCTACTTTTTACTATTTATCCTCAAAGAAGGTGCATAATTTCATACTAACCTTCAATTTACATCAAACTTATAATTTTCAGATTGGCAGGCTTCATTTATTGCTAACAGTTAAGGAATCCGCTATGGATGTTCCAACCAACTTAGAAGCTAGAAGGCGCATTTCCTTCTTCTCAAATTCATTGTTTATGGACATGCCCCCAGCTCCTAAAGTTCGCAATATGCTTTCTTTCTCGTGAGTATTCTTCAAACTATATCACATTTTTGCATAGTACCGTTGCTGTTTAAGTATGTGTCTAGTATGACTGATGCAACTTTTAACGTGAACATCTAAACTATCATCATCTTCTTGAAGTCTATGACTCCATCGTTTCATATTATCTGTGTAGGTTACCAAATTGCACAGTTTAAACAAAGTATTGGGCTCATGAAATATCACAACTTTTAATGATTTACCTAATATAGTAATATACCCTCATTAAAAGTCAGTTTGCCATTTGTATTCTTTGTATGAGCAATAAAATGAATACTATAAGAGGACTGAATTGGAAAAGAATACTTGATGTGCATAGATTTCATAAATGGACAGATATAAAGAAATAAAATTGGTTGACCTAGACAGCTAAGTAGGAACATTGGGAGTATTTGACATGAGAGGGAGTTTCCTGCCTTTTGAACTAAATTTGGTCAATTTGAAAAAACCAAGAAATTATATTTGGTCATATGATAGTAGACATCCAAATGTGAAAATGTCACTAGGTTAGACCTGTTAAAAATAGACTCAGTCTCTTTTCGACCGAGACCCGACCCAAAATTACTGGGTTTTGAACAAAGTTTTGTTAACCAAACCCGAAACGTCCTGCTAAAAATGGATCAAATCAACCCGAACCCGGCCTGACTAACCCGCTAAAGTAAGTGTTTTTATTCAAAATCGTGTACTTTAATGTTATAATAACCTTCAAAGACCCTACTTTTGTGGGATCCAACCAGGTTGTTATTGTTGTATTACTCCGTATTATTTTTCTTATTACTCCTTTTAGTATAAACTTATCTTTCTAGACAAGGGCTTAATGATATTGTATTGTTATCTCACTTTTGTTAAAAAATTAAACATATTTAAATTATTTATAATAATGTTGTATATATCTAAAAATTACTTAAAAACTAAACATAATTTTTTTGGTCAAAAACAGCTACACACTTTGACCATTAATAAATGTAGTATTAAATAAATACTACGTAAATGTTATAATAACTTGATATATCAAAAACATGTATGTATGTATATACATGGGGCCAGTTCTTGTGAGAATGGACCTCGGTGAAAGAAATGAGAATAGTGCATTTTTGTTGGCCATGGTGTATTTTACAATGCAGGTAGTGCATTTTACAAAGTTTGATTTAATTACAAAATTGCCACCGTATTTTTCACGATTATTTCTTATTTTTTAGGTTTTTATGGCCCTTAGATCTCACATTCTAAAGCACCACATGCATTCTCATTTCTTTCCTAAGATCTCATTCTCACTCGAACACACACACACACACACACACACACATATATATATATATATATATATATATGGATGTATGTGCACATCTGTGGGTGCATGCATATGCATGCGTGTTAAGCACATTTCCTTATACTTTTTTTTTTTGTAGTGTGTTGACTCCGTACTATAATGAGGAGGTTCTTTTCACTATGGACTCGCTGGAAAAGCCGAATGAAGATGGTGTTTCTATACTATTTTATTTGCAAAAAATTTACCCTGGTTAGTTTATTTACTGGGTCAACAATAATGGTATGCCAATGCCAAAGTTTTAGTCCCGGTTTACATGGTAAGTATTATGCAGACGAGTGGGAGAACTTTCTTGAGCGTGTTGGCTGTGGCAATGAAGAAGACCTAAAGGGCAATGCACAATTGGAAGAAGAGCTTCGTCTATGGGCATCATACAGAGGCCAGACATTGACAAGAACTGGTAACTGGTTCTTCGCCCTTATTTTTGCCTTTTAGCAGCAGCAATATTTGACTAACAACTACATTGTTTTTTGAATTTGATTGGTCCATTCAAAAAAGTTCGAGGCATGATGTACTATCGTCAAGCATTGGAACTTCAAGCATTTCTAGATATGGCAAAAGATGAAGGTGCTTATAGGTTTTGCTGGTCATTTTCAACATTTTGAACATTCAAACTATATTCGTTAATTGTAATTTCTGATTTTTCAGTGTTATTGAGAGGCTATAAGGCTGCTGAGTCTAATAATGAGGAACATATACGAAACGAAAGCTCTTTGATGCAACAATGTCAAGCCATTTCAGACATGAAATTCACATATGTTGTTTCATGCCAGCAGTACGGCATTCAGAAAAGAAACGAACGTGATAAAGCTCAAGATATTTTAAGACTTATGATAAAGTATGCTGCTTACATTTTTTCTTCTTCTCATTTATTTGTGCTATAGTTTTGCTTCATAGGTAGTTTCTTATTTGGCAGGTATCCATCACTTCGTGTTGCTTACATTGATGAGGTGGAAGTAACTAGTGCAGATAAATCCAAAAAGCAGGTTGATAAGGTTTATTATTCGACTCTGGTGAAGGCTGTGCCAAAATCTGTTGACTCATCTGAACCAGATCAAAAGTTAGATCAGGTCCCCATCTGAACATATTAAGTCCCCTTGAGAATTTGGACACCCTCATATGCTACATTATTATTTCGTACTTTTAATTCTTTTCTTTTTCTTGCATTGTCTTTAATTTCATTTATCATGAGGCGAGATTACAGTCACATTCAATAATTCATTGCACACATTCTCGGTTGGGAGCTTATATCCATCAGATTCAACCAAATTAAGAGATTTACTGCTTGTATTTTTAATATAAGAGATTTACTTTGTTGGGAGCATAGGATGTACTTTTTGTTGCAAGATTAGAAAGCTAATCTTGGTTCTATCTAATCAATATAATCTTCATTTGGCTGTAATATTATTATTATGTTGTGGAACTTTTCAAATAAAGTACTGTCTTTATCTATCCTGACAATGGCACAATGCCCTTCCCGGCCAGGTCATTTATCGTATAAAACTTCCTGGGCCTGCTTTATTAGGTGAAGGGAAGCCAGAAAACCAAAACCATGCCATAATTTTTACTCGCGGTGAAGGTTTGCAAACGATTGATATGAACCAGGTATTTTGTTAGACTTCATAACTGGTGCATTCATTGCATTGGACTCCTGCAGAATGCTAATAAATGACTATTTGAAAGGATAACTACATGGAAGAAGCCTTCAAAGTGAGAAATTTATTGCAAGAATTTCTTAAGAAGCACGGTGTGAGAAAACCAACCATTCTGGGGCTGAGGGAGCATATATTCACTGGCAGGTATTTGAACATTTACCAATAAGTTTAATTTAATTACGGAGTATTTTCTTTGTTCAGTGATCCCTACTCATTGTGGGATCCAACTGGGTTGTTGTTGCTCTGTTCAGTATTTACTCCTACCAGCTTATAAACCTTGTTAAATGTTGCAATGGCATGAACATTCATTATTTCTCAATTCCCATTTTGTTTTGTAATGACTTGTTGGCTTGTTGCCTTCTGTTCAGTGTTTCTTCTCTTGCATGGTTCATGTCAAATCAAGAGAACAGTTTTGTCACAATTGGACAAAGATTACTGGCCAACCCCTTGAAGTAAGCATTTAATGTGATGATATGCATAATGCTTTAGCTTATTACTGCAAATTTGATGTCCAGAATGGTAATTATTCTTGTTTCAGTCAACAATTACTCTCCAACGATCCAGTATTCTTGAATCTGGGGTTAATTGCTCCTACAAAATCCATATGGTCTAATCAAAAGCTAATTGCTGACATGATATTTTGTGGTTCCTTTGCATTTCATTTCAGGGTTCGTTTTCACTATGGTCATCCTGACATATTCGACAGATTGTTTCATCTAACTAGAGGCGGTGTCAGTAAGGCTTCCAAAGTTATCAACCTAAGTGAAGACATTTTTGCAGGCATGATAGATCATACAAAGTCCCTTGTAGCATGTCAACTTATGATTTTGTCATAACATATAGTTAATTGCAGGTTTCAATTCTACATTACGTGGAGGGAATGTCACACACCATGAGTATATACAAGTGGGTAAAGGGCGGGATGTGGGACTCAATCAAATTTCTATGTTTGAGGCAAAAATAGCCTGTGGAAATGGCGAGCAGATGATTAGTCGTGATGTTTATAGACTTGGACATCGCTTTGATTTTTTCCGCATGATGTCATGTTACTTCACCACCGTTGGATTCTATTTTAGTACTATGGTACTTTCTGTTTCTATTAATCTGTCTTCACTGACCAAATTTGTGTGTTCCTTCTTTATGTTATTTTATAAAATCTATCCACATTGAATATTTTTCAAATGTTACCCTTCTTATTGCAACGAAAGTAAGTATTTACTCATATTAAATGAAGGCTTTTTAGGTAAATTATTATAAGGTTTGAGTGTTCGACTAATTTGTCACTAATTCATTTTCATATCATACTTCCTAAACTAGTTGAAATTTTGTTCTCCTATCATAGACTTAGAAACATATCTAATCAATATTTCATTTGTTTTGGCAGTTAACTTCTCTCATGGTATACATTTTTCTGTATGGTCGTCTCTATCTTGTTCTTAGTGGACTTGAGGATGGATTAAGTAACCACTCGGCTATACGGAACAATAAACCTCTTCAAGTTGCTCTTGCTTCCCAGTCCTTTGTCCAGATTGGTCTCTTAATGGCATTACCAATGATGATGGAGATAGGCCTCGAAAGGGGTTTCCGCACTGCCTTGACTGATTTTGTTCTCATGCAACTTCAACTTGCCCCTTTATTCTTCACATTCTCTCTTGGCACAAGGACCCATTATTTTGGACGAACATTGCTTCACGGCGGTGCCGAATACAAAGGCACAGGCCGCGGGTTTGTTGTTTTTCATGCCAAATTTGCTGATAACTACCGAATGTACTCGCGCAGCCATTTCGTAAAGGGAATTGAGTTGATGACTCTACTTCTTGTCTACCACATGTTTGGCTCATCATATAAAGATGTGGTTGCTTATGTATTGATCACTATGTCAATATGGTTCCTGGTGGGGACATGGCTGTTTTCTCCATTTCTTTTCAATCCTTCAGGATTTGAGTGGCAAAAGATTGTTGATGACTGGACAGATTGGAACAAGTGGATTCACAACCACGGTGGAATTGGGGTCCCACCAGCAAAGAGCTGGGAATCTTGGTGGGAGAAAGAGCAACTGCATCTCCAGCATTCTGGGAAGCGGGGTATTATCATTGAAATTTTGTTATCACTCCGGTTTTTTATATACCAATATGGGCTTGTGTATCACCTGACCATTACTAAGAGATATAAGAGTATCCTGGTATGACCTGAAAAATTTCTTTGGATTTTTACCAGAAACACACATTCTCGTCAAAACATGGCCTCAAGTTTATATCTCTATTTTGCTTCCTTTTTGCACTTTTCAGGTTTATGGTGTTTCATGGCTTGTAATTTTCTTGGTACTAGCTGTGGTGAAGGTGAGTTGTAAGATTATACTTTCTCCGTCCCATAAAACAAGTGTTTCACAAATGTGGTACCTGTATTATATTTTAGTAAAACACACATATCAAAAATGATCAAATGTAGTCACAATTTATCCATTGGGTCTAAATTTAATACAATTAGCTTGTTCGGGACAATTTTTTTAATAAATAAAGTTTAGAAAGATGACTCATTTATGGTATAGAGGGAGTAGTTCACATCCTATTCAAATGTAATGGATTTTGGAATATAATGATAACATGGTTAAGAAATTTAATTGTTTAAACGGAGTATATGAATTCTAAATGTGAAGTTCAACTAAGGTTTTAGTTGACTTTTACACCTATTATTGATACCATGTGAGATAACTCCAACAATCTTTTCTCAAGATTGCATGTCATTTGCGCATTCCTTTGCCTTAAGTACATTTTCAATACATATGCTCATGCTGATTGATCTCCACTATTTTCCTTCCAGATTGTCTCTGTAGGGAGGAGGAGATTTAGTGCTGACTTCCAGCTGCTGTTTCGGTTGATCAAAGGCATCGTATTCATATCATTCATGACTATTTTGATTGCTTTAATTGTGGTCCTGCACATGACATTCCGGGACCTCATCGTTTGCCTCCTTGCTTTCATGCCAACTGGATGGGGAATGCTCTTGGTAAGCGTAACACATCATTGTTTTTTTTTGTTATCCTTTTTGTTGTTGTCGAAGGATGTCCTATGTCGGATCTAATAGAAAATAATAAACCAAAATACTAGACATCGAGTTAGTTGTGCCTTTTAGGAGGAAATCCAATCCTTAAAAGAGCTACTCCATCCATCCCATGGTAATTAAGAAAAGGAAGGTTAAGCAGTTAATATTGATTTAAGAGTAAGATAGAGTGAGAATGAATTTGAACCTCACAAATTTGACCAAAATGGTATGTGACAATAATAGTGAGACGAACAAAAAAGGTATAAAAATAGAAAATTAGTGGGATAAACGGAGAAAGTATTACTCGTAATATAATTTACATGATGGGGGAATCCTTCAACACTTACATTTGATGTTATATTTTCTCCAATACCCCTACCATTCATGAATGATGTCTCATGTTAATGATGTTATATACATTTTGGTGGCGCGCAGATAGCGCAAGCATTGAAGCCATGGGTAGAACGCGCCGGGATTTGGGGATCGGTTAGGACACTCGGGCGCGGTTATGAGCTGACTATGGGATTGCTTTTGTTCACTCCGGTTGCTTTCTTGGCTTGGTTCCCATTTGTGTCGGAATTCCAGACACGAATGTTGTTCAACCAAGCATTTAGTAGAGGTCTGCAGATCTCTCGTATTCTTGGTGGTCCGAAGAAGGAGAAAGATACCTCCAAGAACACCAAAGACTAGTTAAGTTCCCTTAAATTATCAAATTGCTTAACTGCTTTTGTCCCAAGTGTGGGTGTTTTTGTAAAATGTGTATATGTATGTATCTATATGTAAATTTTTATTATGACTAGACTTCATTCTCCCATGGCTTAAAGCATGAGGAGGATTTGGAGGGTTTCAAGTGCTTTAATTTGGATGACCTAGTGTTAGTATGAAGCCTACCTTTATGTGCATGTACTTCACAAATATATTTGTACATCAAGTTGGTGTGCACTAACTAAAATTTACATTACATAACCATAACTCATATGTGACACAAATTCGATGTATTTGTACGTTGCAAACAAAACTCGTTTGTGTCACATGTGAGTTAGCATTGGCGCGAGGCATCTATGTCTGTGTAATGTAAAATTTAAATGATGTATATTTGGTGGATTCCATCTTAGTGTACATGTAGCATGGTTGACTTCTTAATTCAATCTAAATCTTGTTCAGTCTTGATGTGGATGAACAATATAAACTGCCTAATAATTTTGTTGAATTCATCTTGGTCTATGCTGATTACTGAGGTTTTCGTCAAAGAAAGAATTCAGACAATTTGTGCACACCAAGAAGGCAAGAATGGTCCAATTTTGTTTCTTTTTCTTTATTAACAATAAGAAGTTTTACATGATTCTGTTGGAAAAAAGTAACCTCATGTTTTAAAAAATGACCCCATTTTCTAGTGTTATGTACTCCATTACAATATAATTACAATATACTCCATAGTATTTCTTCATATTTTTTTTTAACATAATGATGCACTGCTAGCAAATATCTCATGTCTTCTCTAAAAGAATTATTTAAAGGTGATCATAAAGTTTCCCCGGTAAATGTTTTTAGATATATAGTGCTAAAAATTAATTGCAAGTGAATTAAAAAACAATATATAAAGATTTTTGCCCCCTTCAAAAAACTGTGGTCTTAAATTGTAATCTTAAATTTTCGTACTTCTTCCATTCCAAAATATTTTTAGAGTATATAAAAACTTTTCTTGGAATCATAACTATAAGTTTGAATTTTTTATTGAGTTGGTTCCTTGACAAGTATTTTTGAAAAAATAAAATAAAATAGAACATCTTTTTTTGATCAACCAAAAAATGGCATGTATTGGAACCAATGTTTGCCGAAACAATTGTTGTTGTGTATCGTACTTTAGAAAATTATACTCATAAACGGGTAGAAGAAAATCTTAAACAAACTTTGTGTACTATCAATTAAAGTAGATTATTTTATTCTTGTTACTTCTTTTTTTGAAAAACTTTTGATATAGTTATAAATATAAAAATTTTATTATTTTTCTATGATAGTTTTTTCATAATGTAAATTGAAATAATTTAAAATTTTATTTCATTTTGGGTAATGTGACAAATATTTTGGGACGAAAAAGAATACGGAGGTTTAACTCATGATAGAACTCTTCTTTTAAGGCAAGCTAGAACTATTCCAAGTCTCACCTCAACTTTTCTCTTTTTTATGTCTTTTTTTTTCTTTCTTACAAACATGAGCAAATCTTTGAAAAAAGAAAAGGTAAAGTAGTGAAGAAAAGGTTGGATTCCACATTGTCGACTTTTTATTTTTTTCAGTATGGCTAGGGGTACACAAAAATTATTCTTCCTTCGTACGAAAATGTTCTTCACATTTGATATTTTAAAGTCACCAATATTGTATTTTGACCGCTAACATCTATACCTATACATAGATAAATTGTATAAAAATTTGATATTTCAAAACTACGTTTTAATCAAATATATTGATATTAAATTTATATTATAATATAATGTATTTTTCTACATATCGGAGTCAAAGTTTATAAGCTTTGACCAATAAAAAGCGAACAGGGAGAAATTTCCGGACGAAGTGAGTACTCTATTTGTACCCCACTATTCTTCCCACCACCAAATTCTTATATATTCTTCCCTCTTTTTATACACATCAAGAAATGTGTGATAAAAGAATAAGGATATATAAATGAGATATACTTTTAGTGTATACATTACTCTCTCTTTTTTTAATTAAAGAGTGATACTCTAGCTTTGTACATAGGGAGGGAGGCATATATAGTGGGCTAGTTATTAAGTTATATTCCATCTGCTCAAGAGTATTTGTCCGATTTTATTTTTTTGAGTCAAACTTGACAAACTTTAATCATCAATTACTCTCAATTTGTATTGCATATTAATACAATGAAATAAATTTTTAAAAGTTTTAAGCAATTTAAATATACTAAAATCATTTTTATGCTAATATACATTACAATTTTTACTTAATTAAGGCTCAAAGTTTGTTTAGTTTGACTCGAAAAAATCAAACTGAACGAAGACTCTGAGACGAATGTAGTAGTTCGTTAAAAAAGGTGGGACGCCCACCCTGGAGCCCCCACACCCCAGCCAGACAAGATTGTGAGGGAGTAAATCATGGTATAATCTCAACCTGGTCTTTAGAGAGGCCGCCCTGTGCCCGGTGCGCACAAGAAGTTATGACAAATAATAGAACTCTCGCATTGCCGCTGCTGGCATTTGACCCTAAGATCAACGGGTTTGACATGCCCTCCTTTAATTCGTTGAGCTGTCCATGCTCGCTTAAGGTATACTTCTTTCATCCCTATTTTGATTGTAATTTTATTTCTCTTCTCAATAGCTTTTGTTTATTGTGTATTTTCATTGATTATTTGATAAAATAAAGTATTTTTGTCATCTATTGTTTCGATGAACTTTCGCTATAATTATTTAATATATACTCCCTCTGTCCCAGAGTATTTGTCCACTTTCATTTTTACACACCATCCAAAACACTTCTTTAATCCATATTATCTTGTAATTTGTATATTAAAAAATTATAGAAATTATATATTAATAATCTATATGTTACGACGAATCAAACAAGATCACACATGACTATATTTAGGCTTACACATTGAGAGAATTTGATGAGTCAAAGTGCCTAGATGAACAATTCCAAAAGTCAAAAGTGGACAAAAACTGAGGGACGGAAGGAATAATTTTTATTTCTTATTGATGTATCAATTTGTAAATAAAATAATTTTAAAAATTATAGGTTTAAATCTTAATTTTCATTTTGTAATCAAAATAGAGAAGGATGGAGTACTTCCTAATTGGCAAAGAGAAAGTCAAGGGGGGGGGTGGGGGGGTGGGGGTCACTTACAAGAAGCAGCTAACGACCATGGAATAGTCAAATCACGCATGGCCTAATATCGCAAGATACCAAATTACCAAACATTGGTTTCCATTGCCCTCTAACCGGAAAATTTCATTTCTACCGTCAAGTATATATCCTTGAAAATGCTACTTTTATTTCTGAAATGACATCAAAATTAATAAGAATAATATTTTAAGCTTGAGTTTAGTGTATGATTTGATATTTGTTGCATTATAAGTTTGAATTTGATGTAAATGGTTCGAGATGGTCTAAGACACTTAGTACATCTATCCCACAATATTTGTCACTATCATAGTGTCTCTGTTACAACGTATTGAGAACTTTTGTTTATACATTTTTATTGACTATTTGAATAATGAAATATTTTTGTCACATCTTATTTTGTAGAACTCTTGGTATACTTTTATATGGTTTAATTTTTTGTTTTTATTATTTTTATACAAATTTATAAATAAAATAATTTTAAGTGGCAAATTTTACACGTTGCTAAGTTATAGATAGACAAGCATTGTTAGACGAAAAGAGTATTTATTATTTATTATTTGTACTAAATATTATGTGATTTAAATATCTTATTGATAGTTTTTCGAGTTTCTCAAACAAACTATCTTTGAGCTAATACGCAAGCTCATCATTATCCGTTTGTTTTCACTCATACAATGGTTCTAGACCCGTGAACTTGCGTCTTGGATCAAAGACTACCGGTCTAATCTTTCGCTTAATTTAAAAAATCAAATGAGAATATTAATCTGAGACTACATTTGTCTCGAAGACTTCTTCGATTCTAGTCCTTCAACTCCTTCCGATTCTGATCTCAATTTATCTCGATCGATTTTGACAATCCCAAACTTTTTACTTCAATACTACCTCCGTCCCAGATTATTTGTCCACTTTTATTTTTACACATCAAACAATGCACTTTTAAATCCATTTTATCTTGTAATTTGTATATTAAAAAATTATAAAAATTATATATTAATAATCTATATGTTAAGACAAATCAAACAAGATCACACATGACTATATTTAGACTTACACATTGAGAGAATTTGATGAGTCAAAGTGCTTAGATAAACAGTTTCAAAAGTCAAAACTGGACGAATACTCTGGAACAGAGGAAGTATTTTCCAACTTCTTGTTCTTTTGTTTAACGGTAAATTCTATAAAAAAAAAAAGATTGTAGTATTTGGACATTGCCCAATGGATATGCACCTGAAAAGAGAGAGGGAGAGAGGGGGTAATAATGGGCGTTTGATTAGGTTTAGAAGTCAAGATTTGGCAGAGATGCCATTTACATCCTTATGCCTATTTCTATAGTTTTTGGGCGACAGACAGCTCGTCTTTATTTAGCCTCAAACCCGACGCCATTACACTGTTTACTCCGTATTTATACGTGCCTTTTATGCCCTGCTACGCCTATTTGACTTACATTTTATACTCCCTCCGTTCCTGAGTGTTTGTCCACTTTTATTTTTGCACACCATCCAATGCATTTTTTTAATCCATTTTATCTTGTAATTTGTATATTAAAAAATTATAAAAATTATATATTAATAATCTATATGTTAAGACGAATCAAACAAGATCACACATGACTATTTTTAGGCTTACACATTGAGAGAATTTGATAAGTCAAAGTGCTTAGATGAACAGTTCCAAAAGTCAAATGTGGACAAACACTCAGGAACGGACCAAGTACGTCCCTAAAAGATTGTGCAGTTTGATTTTTTTATTTAAATTATGACATTTTTTACCATAAATTAAATATAGTTTAAAATAATTAAATATTATAAAAATTTAATATTTCAACATTATATTTTAAAATAAACCAAATTTTAATTTTTTATATTGATATGCAACATAAATTAAGAGTAATTGATAATTAAAACTTATTCAGTTTCATTTGAAAAAGTCAAACTCGAATACACTGGGACGGAGGAAGTATCTAAAAACTAAGGGGGTGTTTGTTTTTTGGCCAGAAGAGCTTCTGGCCTCTTTTGTCTGCGCCGCGCAGACGCGCGCAGATGCTGAGCTCTGCAGATTGTTTGTTTTTTGGAAGACATTTCACTCAAAAAGGTCTTCCTAGCATCTTCTTGGAGAAGACATTAACCTATGTCTTCTAACATCTTCTCCATTNCGTCCACCACCACCCTTCACCACCACCCTCCACCACCACCACAATCGTCCATACACTACCACCGTACACTACCACCATTAATTTATATAGCAGTCTACAGACATTAAAAAACAAACAGTCTTCTTCTTGCAGACCGCAGACCTTCGGTCCACCACTTCTCCTGCAGATGTCTACAGTAGTGGTCCGCAGACTGCAGACCTTTTCCTGCATAAAAAACAAACACCCCCTAAATCTTAAATTATACTCACTCCGTCCCATGAAACATGAGAGTTTTGCTTTTTAGGAGAGATTTAAGGGAAGTGTATTTTGGTATTGAATTTCCAAAAATGTCCTTTGATGTGATGGGTAAAGTATGATTTGATGGATAGATTATTAGTAAAAAGGTATGATGTGATAGTTAGGGTATGAAAAAGTAAGGGGTAAAAGTGACTTTTTGATAGAAATGAGAAGTGTTTTGTAAGACGAATAAAAAAAGAATGGGGAAAGGTTTTATGGGACAGAGGGAGTACAAGACAAGAGGTGAAATGATTATATGATTTTCTTATATGGGCACTGAAAATGAGTAATGAAAGCATTTAAAATTTTGACTTATGAATAATGAACAAGCAATCTAAATTTGGACGAATTAAGTACGGAGTATATTTGAAAAATTGATTTAATTTCACCAATATAGGCATGTCATCATTCACCAATAAACGAAATGATGCGTTTCTAGAGGTGAGCAAAACGGGGTTTTGGATGGGATCAAGTTAGTCTTTACCTTTAGAGCACTAGAAATGGTCATGGGGTTCTGAGACTTCAAATCTTCTTTCTCCGACATACCGATTTTAATTTCAATCACAGTTTCAATGGAAATATGTTTTAAGCCTCGGGGACTTCATATAAGGGCTTCAAATCTTTTTTAAAATTCTTCAATAAAGTTAATTTAATAGCATTTGATTAATTGATTAAATTTAAATTATAATAATTCGAGCAAACGGGCTTGACCATGGGTGAGCCAATCAGACGAGCTCAATCATGGATGAGCTGAGTAGACGGGCTCAATCATGGATGAGCCGAGCAGGTGGGCTCGGCCATGGACGGGCTCAATCATGGATGAGCCGAGCAGATGTGATCTTCCATGGATGAGCCGAGGAGACGGGCTCAACCATAGATGAGGTGAGCATACGGGCTTGACCATGGATGATTCAGGAGACGTGCTAAATCATGGATGAGCCAAGCAGGCGGGCTCGGACATGGACGGGCTCAATCATGGATGAGCCGAGCAGACGGACTCGACCATGGATGAGCCGAGGAGACGGGCTCAACCATAGATGAGGTGAGCAGACGGGCTTGACCATGGATGACTGAGGAGACGTGCTAAATCATGGATGAGCCAAGCAGACGGGCTCAATCATGACTGCTTAGCGGACGAAGTGTTTCCTCAGGACGTGGGGCTTGTGGGGTCTAATGTGGGCCTTCTATGTACTCTTCTTGGTTACATGGGGTTACCTTCTATCATGCATATACGCCCAAAGTATTTGTGTATGAACATCAATTACGAAGTATTTACATTTTTGGTATAATATTTTCATTTTTATTATAACATCAAAGTTTTTCACGTAAATATATAAATTTCACAAATTTTTAATGTTAATATAACTTCATATTAAGATTAGTTATTGGTGTATATATTTTACTCCCTCCGTTTGGAAAAACCCTTCCCATTTGATATGAGGGTAAAAATAAGGAAGTGTTAAATTATAGTTGATTTCCAATTTTGCCCCTGATGTGATGGGTAAAAGTAAGATGTAATGGATAGATTATTAGAGAAAAAGTATAATGTGATAGGTAGGGTATGAAAAAATAAGGGTAAAAATTGTTTTTTAATAGAAAGGGAAAGTGTTTTGTTGGAAGTGGAAAAAATGAAAGAGGAAATGTTTTTGAGAACGGAGGGAGTATATTTTTTTACTTTACAATACAATTTAAAATGTCTAGTAGTTAAGGAAAAATAACTTAAATCGACTGATTAGTTATTTACATTTATATTTCTATGACTTTTTTCACATATATTCATATATACATAAAACGAAGTACATTGGAAAGTTTGGTTTTTTGGTTCAATTTTTCTCGAGTGAAAAATAAAATAAAAATCAAACAATGACAATTACTACGTGGCAAGTATGCATTCAATTTCAATTTTCTCTAACTCGCATCGATCAGTTTTGATTTAGTTTGCGGTTTTCGATTTGCTTGAAAAAAAACCTAGCCCTAGTCAAATGCCTGTTTGATGCAAGAAAAAAAGGGGAAAAAGAAAACTTTTTACAAAAGTTTTAAGAGGAGTTTGCAAACGAGGCCTTATCATTGATAACATGTTTGTACTTTTTGTGCATTAATAATGATTGTTCATTACCAATTCACTTATGGGATAGAATCTCTATAAAGTCTCTTTCTATCCTTAAATCCAATCCCCTCTCTCTCTATCTCTCTCTCTCAATTCACAGATCAGAGTTTTTGCTTTAATTCCCACTGCTTTAATAATCTCTGTGTTCTCATGAAAAATGGAGCTTGGCTTGAGCTTAGGCCTGGGCTTAACCACCATTAATGGAAGACCTGTCGGACATCAAGAAGAAGAAGGCCAAGAGCCGCCGGACAAATTCAAAGAATCCCAGACCGATTCCGCCGCCGACGGCGACTACGACGACGATGACTACGAGCTGGCCACGTCGTCGTCGGAAGAGCCCCACCGGGGCCCGGGTCGACGGTTTGCCCTGTTCGCCTCCCCTGTTCCGCTCGACCTTCTGCCTCCCGCCCCTGTTCAGTACATGACCGTCGGAATCCGTCCGGCGGCCGGAAGGCCGGCGCCGGAGGAGGCTTCGTCGCCGAACAGCGTGGCCTCGTCGTTCCGGGCGGTCGACTTCAGCGTTTTCAAGAGGAACAGGGCCGGCGCCGGGATGGAAGAAAACAGGGGAGCAGGTCAGATGAATGGGCTTGACGCCGCCGCGCACGGCGGCGTAACGGCGGTGGAGAGGGCGAGCGACGACGACGAGAACGCGGCGAATGGCCGGAAAAAACTACGGCTTTCGAAAGAACAGGCGGCTTTTCTTGAAGAGAGCTTTAAAGAACATCACACTCTCAATCCTGTAAGTACAACCAGCCAAAAAGAAGAAGAAGAGTGAAATTACCATTTTGTCCTCCTTAAACCCTTTTATTATTGATACCAGTCCTCATAAAATTGACCTTTCTTTCTCTATTTTCAGTTCACTCTTTCTTGTATGATTTTTTTTTTCATTTAATCTTTTTATGTAATTAATTTAATATATTCTATTAAAAAATTAATATTTTGATTAATACTTCAAAATTAATATTTTGATTAATACTCCATAATACGGAGTATTTATATTCATATAAATAAAAACTTACTCGTAATATTTTAATATGCGCGCTTCATTTCAAAATGAATGTATTAATATTAAATTTATATCATACAAATAAAGTTTTACTAAAAAAAATTGGACTATGGAATTCTAAACCATCAAAAAATCATTTTAAATGGCAATTTTAATCTGATTAAATTGAAATTAATATTTTTTTGTCAAACGGTCCCTAAAGTGAAAATGCCAAATTTGTTTCTTTTTCTTAAAAAGATAAGAAAAGACAACCTTTTTCCCATGTTGTCCCTCTTTCTTGTTTCCCAAATAAAAAAATAATAATCAATTTGAACACGTTTTTTTGAATTTATTTTACTATTTTAATTAAACATTTGTTTTTAATTTGGGGAAACAGAAGCAAAAGCATGCCCTTGCAAAGCAGCTGAACCTCCGGCCAAGGCAAGTGGAAGTGTGGTTCCAAAACAGAAGAGCCAGGTACCCTTTGACACTCCTCTTTTTTTTTTGTGATTTAAAGAAAAATTATATTGAGTTATATATTAATCTTAAAATGAAAATTCAAAATATTTTATTTTTATAATATTACTTCTTTCTTGTAGCATTCTTCTAGTCTGATTTTTCCAAATAAAATGAACCAATTCTGATCAATTAGCGTATTTCACATTAGTCAAAGATTAGATCGGAGTAATTCATTAGATTTATCTTGTAAAAAATCTACGGAATTATGCATCCTTGTAGCATGTTTATTAGTATTTAATATGATAGGTAGTGATTAAAGCTTGTCCAATCATATGAGAAAAAATCAAACCAAGAAATAAAAGTGAAATTTTTAGTAAATAGCACTAAAGCATTAGTTATTTCCCAATGTAGATGTTTTTATTTTCTAAATAGTACTTGAATAATGTCTAATGATGAGAATAATGTTCTATTCAGCAATGGTGGACTTGAGTTTGAACAATGTCCAGTGGCGATAGACATTTACTTAAAAAATGAGCAGTGGTACAACATTCGAAAATAAAAACATATGGTACTGTATTATTTTGGGAAACTCATTATGTTTTAGTATTATTTAGGTAAATTTTTCGAAATAAATCAGAAAAAGTATTCAAAATGTTAAAAAAATATTCTGAAATATTAATATACAATGTCAAATTATCGCGTTTATATATGGTTGCAAAAAATGATGAAACAGGACAAAGTTAAAACAAACAGAAGTGGACTGTGAGTACTTGAAGAAGTGGTGTGAGAAGTTGAGGGAAGAGAACAAAAGGCTGAGCAAAGAATTGCAAGAACTCAGAGCTTTGAAGTCTTCCAATCCCTTCCACATCAATCACCCCCCCACCACCCTCACCATGTGCCCCTCCTGCGAAAAGGTCGCCGCCGCCGCCGACTCGGGTCCCGCCGCCGTCCCGTTCCCGGCGAATCCCTCGGCCAGGCTCACGTTCCCGTTCCCCGTCGTGGCGGCACCGCAGACTCCCGGCCACCAATCTGCGGCGTCTTGAAGGTCGCCGGGAATCGAGATCCGGCGTGTTTCGCCGGAGTTGGTTCTGGAATCTTTGAGTTAGTGCTCGTTTTGGCCTCTCTAAGTGTACCTGGGAGTTAATTTGATTTTATTGGCTTAAATCAGATTAATTAGTCTGTGTAGTCCAAAAATCCCTCTAATGAAATTTATGTTCATCGTGTTACTGAAACGTTCTAAGTTATTATGTTAATTGACACAAGAATTACCTAATAACTTTTGTGTCAATTAACATATTAATTTGGGAAATTTCGTTGGATAAGCTAATCTAGTAATCTTGTTATTTTTATTCTGTTTTTAAAAAATTCTTCTTATTTTTATTTTTTTATCAGGTGATGACATTTTTTGACTAAAAATAGTGAGAAAAGTACATTGTCATTATACTAAAAGTTTAATATAATTAAATTTATTTTAAGATATAGTTTTGATATATCACATTTCTGTAACTTTTATTTCTTTACATTATGTTTAATTTGTGGTAAAAAATATAACTATTTTATTAAATAAAAATCAAAATAGGTAAAGTTCTTGTGAAATACTCTCTTTGTCCCTAAATGTTTACCACATTTCAAAAAACGAAGCATAATATCAAGTCCTTTTCATTCATTTTATTTTAGATATTGGTATAGAAATAAAAAATAAAATTTATATACTCCCTCCGTCCGGAAATGTTCTTCTCGTATTGACTTGGCACGCTTATTAAGGAATAATAAAAAAATGCAAAATTTTCAAAAATGCACATACTATAAACTTTTAAATCTCCTTTTATTATTAAAAAAGTACTAAAAAAGTATATTTGTGATAAAATAGAAGGGTATTATTTATATTTAGCCTTAAAAAGTATACTAAAAAAGGAAATGGGAAGAATATTTCCGGATGGACCAAAAAGGAAAATGAGAAGAATATTTCCAAATGGAGGGAGTATTTAAAAATTAAATGAATTTTTTTTAAATTAAAGATGTTAAGAATATTTTATTAAATGATTTTTTTTAAATTAAAGCGTAAGAATATTTTTCAGTCGAGTAAATTAAAAAGACTAATTTGAGTGGAAACAAAATATACGGACCAAATTGACTATAACTGAAATATTATTTGTGGGTGAAAGGTTTGATGTTTGTGTCAGGACGGAGTAACTTTTTGGCTGGAAACAAGATTGGGTATTGGTATTATTACAATTATTGCTATCTACCCGATTCTGACCAGATTGATTGAAGTCGGGTCGGAGTTTGGGTAGAAAATTATTATCTCCGTTTCAGAGTATTTGTCCACTTTCATTTTTACACATCATCTAATGCACTTCTTTAATCCATTTTATCTTGTAATTTGTATATTAAAAAATTATAGAAATCATATATTAATAATCTATATGTTAAGACAAATCAAACAAGATCACACATGACTATATATAGGCTTACACATTGAGATAATTTAATGAGTCAAAGTGCTTAGATGAACAGTTCCAAAAGTCAAAACTGGACGAATACTCTGGGACGGAGTACTTTTTACTCCGTAGAATGTAGTGGTCAGACTGGTCACATTTTGAGCGTGTAGTGTAGTGGGGGTAATAATTGGATGGGATTCAATTTGTTGATGATATGCTTTTTACTAGTTCAAAATTTTAATCCATTATTTAGATAAATGTTTGATACTCCCTCCGTCCCATGAAACATGTGACTTTTGCTTTTTAGGATGGATTTAAGAGAGTGTATTTTGGTATTAAATTTCCAAAAATGTCCTTTGATGTAATGGGTAAAAATATGATTTGATGGATAGATTATTAATAAAAAAGTATGATGTGATAGTTAGGGTATGAAAAACTAAGGGGTAAAAGTGACTTTTTAATAGAAATGAGAAGTGTTTTGTGGGACGGATAAAAAAAGAAAGGAGAAAGGTTTCATGGGACGCAGGGAGTATTAAACTACATCTCAATATTAATTTAACAATAATAAATTTATACTATACTTTTTCTAGAATTTGTTGCTAAAATTTAAAATTTTTGGCAAATAGAATCAAATACTCCGTATTAAGATTTCTTTTAAGAGAATAAATTTATGGTGCGGAGTATAGCAATTAAATTAAATTTATTTAATTGTTGGCTTCCCCGCTACGGAGTTCTTCATGGCCTTGGCGTCCCCGCTACGGAGTACTTCCAACATCTCCACCTTGGGTCCATCCAATGAATTGTATTGACTCTGAGCAAATGTTACGTAGTTGACAAAGATAAGGAATGTCAAAGAAGTGTAGACACAGGTTCGATTCATTATTACTCCGTATATCATAACGTATGTGACGCCCCCTCCACCCCCCCCCCAATTGAATCCAATCCGAGTTGGTGTTCCGTAATTGACAAATATATGGAATGTCTAAAAATAACTACTCTCTTACATTAATCATACATCTTTCTCAATTTACTTCTAAATTAAATTATGCTCCGTATGTGAAATTGTTGCGAGAAGGAGACGTAGAAAAGGGTATCGAATCCCTTTAAGATTCGATTGTGATAATTTTTCTATTTTGATATAATTCTTATTGCTTGGAATTAAAGTTTAATTATTTATTTTGTCTTCTTCCTATATAACGAGTGTTGGTTCTTTGTATTCAACAAAAAATCAATATACATTACTCCGTATTATTTTCTTCAAAAGAAGGAAACAGAATTCCAAAGGGATTCGATTTTGTATCTTTGCTAAGTTTTCTTTTTCTTATTTTAATAGGAACATAATTATGACAAAAATAGAAATTTACTTAATTGTTTTACCTTCTTCCTATATAAATAGAAGTTTACTTCATTGCTTTACATACCTTATGAAAGATTTTCATAAAGAAAAAATGTCCAAAATAAAAAAAATTCCAGTTGTCGACCCCAGCCAGGGGCTCTGCCCCTTGGACCCCGCTACCCGGGGGTTGTCGCCCCGGACTCCGTTATGAATTTGTAATACCGTTGAATGAATGTGCACTTCGCGCTTCTTAATTCGTTTCACAACGTCTATTCACATCTTTGTCAGATTTACTTAGATTCAATCACACAAAATAGCCAATGACATTAAAATGACCAAGACATCGTGATTTCATTAATCATCGTCCTACCTACCCAACATAATAATAAGTAAATGACCAAAACTACTATGAGTTCGAATCTGCCATTGCGGCAAATGCATCACTTAATTGCTTGTCGTTTTCTAAAAGTCCTTTGGTCATGATTGGGTCGTCGATGATTGTAGCAATCCGGCTGCTGCTGCTAATTAATCAACGGACTATCAAAGCCAGTGTTTGCATGCCATCATTATTGCTTGACCCCACTATTTTTGGGGCTAATATTGGTCATTTTTTGGCCTTAAAGATTTCTCTATAATTACTAATATCACACTTTAATGTCATCGGATAATCCGGAGCACCAACGTTGCTATATTTAAAAAGTTGATGGTTTATATCTCTCCAAATCCCCGATACCCAAACAGCCCCCCCCCTCAATCCTCTCCAATTATACCCCACAAAATTTAGTTATTTTTAGAGTTAAAAATTGACCCCAAAGGGGTGAGGGAGTCAGTTCGGGTCGAGCAGAGGTAGGAGGGAGGGGGGTTAGAGTGTTAAGAACCATCAATTTTTTGAACGGAGCATCGTAGGTGCTCCAATCGAGATACTAACTACTAATCACTCCGGTTTAAGTGATATTAGACTTAAGTGTCATATGATGATCTAGGGCACCTACGATGCTTTATTTGAAAAATTGATGGTTACTACCCCTCCCATACAATTACATTATAAATCATGTTTTGTTTCTAAGTCATGTCATTTACCATTTGAGTTTTGTAAGCACAAGGCACATGGCCTTTTAATTTAAGAGTAAATTTCTAAAATAGTCTTTTGTAATAAGGTGTTTTTTCAAATCAGTCCTCAATAAATTTTAATTACCTTCATGGTCCTCTATAATTGAGATTTATTTCCAAGATCGATGGTCCTTCATAAATAATGTTACTCAAATGAGGATTAATTGAGGGTATTTTGGTATTTTTTTATCCACTAAATTTAGAATTATTTCTTAAAATGATCATTTATAATAAAGTGCTTTCCCAAAATAATTTTTTCTAATTAAAGATGTGTATTTGATTTGAAATTTAAAAGATTTTTTATAAGTTTTAAATAATTCATGAATTATTTATAGTTAATGTATTTTTTCAATTTTACATTTAGTTGTACAAAAATAACTAATTCAAGTATATACTTTGAATTTGAATGATCAAAATACCAAAATATCTTCCAATTAATCATCATTTGAGTAACATTATTTACGAAGGACTATCTTGGAAATTAATATCAATTATACATGACCATGTTGGTAATTAAAAATTATTGAGGACTGAATTGAGAAAACACCTTGTTATAAAAGACCATTTTGAGACTTACTCTTAATTTACTAATTCTAATGTTTGGAGTCTAACATTTGTCCCTCTATTAGTGGGTTTCAGAATTATATCTCATTCACTGATAATTTCAGCAATATCTTTTAAAATATATTAGCAAACAATAATAAGTATAAGATATTTAAAGTACTTTTTAATACCAATAATTTAGTATAAATTTTATATTTTAATTCAGTGTATATTTCAATATATATTTAGTCAAATATTTGACACATAAAGCAAAATGAACATTTAAATAGGAATGAAGGGAGTAAGAGATTGACCTCCTTTTTAATGTAGTGCACTATTATTCCATCCATTTAAAAAGAATTCAATGTTCAATATTCAAAAGTTAAAGAAAAATTTTGTTTATTTGTATGTTTTGATTGATTGTTTGATAAAATAAATATTCGTGTCCGCTCTTGTGTTGTACTCCCTCCGTCCCAAATTTATAATCATACTTTGACTTTGCATAGGGCTTACGAAAAGTAAAATTATATGATTGAAAGTGATCTAGAGGAGAGAAAAAAAGGTGAGCCACAAAAAGATTTGTAAAAAAAGAAATGAAAAAGATTAGTTTGCGACAACCCAAAAAAGAATAAGAAAAAATAATTTAGGATGGAGGGAGTAAAATTTTGACGTAATTTTATACTCCCTCCGTCCCAAAAAGATTGGTACATATTGACTTTTTGAAAAATTAAGGGAGGGATATTTTGGTGTTGACTTTCCAAAAATACCCTTGATGTGATGGGTAAAAGTAG